GATATCCATGGTGTTAAAACATACCTGGAAGAAAAAATAAGAATAATGAAGGGTCAGCAATCCGCAAAATAATAACCAACAACAATGCAACAGTGTTAGCAAGCTGAACCCAGTCCAAACTTCAAACCAATTCAAAACAGACTCGAGTCCAATTTATACACCCCAAAATCAAATTGAAACAGGACTCCAAACCCCGATTCAACTCAGGATCAGTCTTTGAAAAACCAAATCAAACCATCTTTAACCCCATGTGAGTCAAGGATAACTTCAGGAAAAGAAAAACCTCAGAAATAAAACCAGAACCCAATGGAACAGTGAATTTCTATGAAATTCTTAGCCGTATTAATTTTCTGTATTTTTACCACCCTCCATTCTTTTTTTGGGTATTCCAGCTGTGTTTTCTGAATGAGGGAAGGGCCTTATTTATAAGGCAAAAGATTTGTTGAGTGCCTTCCAAGGCAAAGAAATGGGAATTCCCCAAAATACCCTTCACAGGGTATCTTTCTTAACAGAAAATGGACAGTTGTCCTGTCCTCATTGGCTTCAGCACCCCTTAATGAATTGTCGCAGATGCGACTTTAGTTCCGCAGAAGCGGGACCGCAGGTGCGGTCCCATGGCCGCAGAAGTGGATTTGCTGGGCAGAAATAAGATATTTCGAGGGTTTGAAATCAAAAGTTAGAAAATCGATTTGGAGCTCGGGTGAGGGAGATATTGGGAGGATTTTGAAGTGGAAATCAGTGGGTAACGATTCCTAATCCCTTTCTAGTTGTATTCCTATAATCTAATCTTAGTTTTGTCATTTAATTTCGGATTTGGAATGAAAAATTGAGGAAAAGTGGAGAAAAGTTCTTAGGCCTAATTTTGGGGTTTTGATCTGGATATTGATGTCGGATTGGAATAATTTTGGTATAAATGAACTCGTGAGAGCATGAGGATTCTGAATTTGTAAATTTTACCCGATTCCGAGACGGTGTCCGAGGGGCGTTTTGGTCATTTTTCCTAATTTCGCATATTAGCTTAGAATTTATTAGTTAAATTAGTTACTTGAAGTGTTATTTACATTATGCAATTACTTTGAATAGATTTGGGCCATTCAGAGTCAGATACTCGTGGCAAGAACGTGGTATAGATTTGATTGAGCTGGTTCGACGTAAGTGGCTTGTCTAACCTTGCGTGGGGGACATCCCCCCCTAGGATTTGGTATTGTTGTTATATGAATGTCGTGTACGTGAGGTGACGAGTGCGTACACGTGCTAATTGTTGGAAATCCATTTTTCATTAAGTAAATTAACTGTCTTTCTTTCTTCTTGAACATTACTTGTATTTTAAGCCTACTGCGTAGATTAGGGAAGCATGCTTAAATGTATCAATTGCCCTATCTGCTTAAACTGTTTATGTGAACTCTGTGCAGCATGTTAGGTTAGAATTACCTGTCCAGTTTGATATTAATTGGTTTGAGTTGATTATCCTTGTGTTGTTGCTGCGTGTTTACATTGGGACTACGGGCAGTTCCCGGTAGATCCCCTTGTCTGTTTATTAGGTACTACGGATGTGATATTCCGGGAGCTCCCCCTGCACCTTTATATTGGAACTACGGGACTGCACCCGGTAGATTCCCCCAGTACTGGGTATTTACATTTGGGACTACGGATCGGGGTTCCGGTAGATCCCCGCTCACTATGAGTTGGACTACGGGTCGGTATCCCGGGAAATCCACTGGATATTTACATTTGGGGGCTACAGGACGGTATCCTGGTTGATCCCCGGTTGTTGGATATTTACATTTGGAGGCTACAGGACGATACCCTGGTAGATCCCCGGTTGCTATCTCTGTGTTGAGCTGTATTCTTTCTGCGATATTTTCTCTGTTGTAATTGTTGTTATTCTTATCATTATACTGTGTTACTTCATACTGTTTCGCTCTTGAATGAAATTGTGGATTATTTCCTTGAGATTGTTCTCTTTTTATTTTGGGACTACGGATGAGTATTCCGTGAGATCCCCTACGCATATATTGATTTTGACTGCAGTGCGGGATACCGAGAGATCCCAGTATATATATTGAGTATAACAAGAGATCCTCGGGATACCAAGAGATCCCCAGTACATATATTAAGGATACCAAGAGATCCTCGGGATACCAAGAGATCCCTAGTACATATATTGAGGATACCAAGAGATTCTCGGGATACCAAGAGATCCCCAGTACATATATTGAGGATACCAAGAGATACTCGGGATACCAAGAGATCCCTAGCAGCACCTGTTGAGGATACTGAGAGATCCCCGAGTATTTACGTTTGGGACTACGGGACGGGATCCCGGGAGATCCCTTGTCGATGTTTCTGCGTACTGAGTGTGTATTTGTCTCTGATTTCTTCTCATTTTCTGATATTGTTTTGATTATGATGTTCCACCTTACACTGTCTTACCCTGCTTTATATTTTATAACCGGTAGGGCCCTGACCTTCCTCGTCACTATCCGACGGAGGTTAGGCTTTGCACTTACTGAGTACCGCTGTGGTGTACTCATGCCCTTTCTGTGCATGTTTTTCATGTGCAGATCCAGGTACTTCGACTCAACCCTACTACCCTTGAGGCGAGGCGATTCTCTAGAGACTTCAAGGTATATCTGCCGCGTCCGCAGACCGAGGAGTCCCTATCTACTCTCTCTTTTAGTTATATCCCTTATGTATTTCTTCTTTTGTTTAGACATTCTGGAGTTAGAACACTTTGTAGTTATTCCACAGCTTGTGATTTCATGAGATTCCGGGTTTTGGGAAATAAGGTTTCAGTTTGAGAGTTTGTACTGTATATGCCGAGCGGCATCTTAAATGTTTCATTCTGTTATTTCGCAGTTTTTGGCTAGTTTTAGTCTGTTGTTTCTTTTCCGCAATTTGTTAGGCTTACCTAGTCGTAGAGACTAGGTGCCGTCACGATAGTTCACGGAGGGCGAACTGGGGTCGTGACAAGTATATTGGAGTCTAATTTTGATTTGTTTCTGTATATTGTACTGGAGTTCTATATATATAATAGAAATGTGTAAAACACGAAAAAAATTTATCCAAAATAATTAGCTGGAATATGATACACATTGCTTTGTATTACGTAATAAATATGGTATTTTATGATTTAACAACTATTTTTATGACGTAACATACAAGTGATTCTAATATAGTTTCCTATAACATTTTCATTATTTCGTCTGAGTTGCAGTACTTTATATAACTATTGGGTACTGTCTTTGATTCATTTTAAAAAAAAAAATTAATTTATATTTTACATTGGGAGTTGTGTTACAGTAATAATTATATTTTCACTCTTTTCATAAAATTGTGATTCATGAATCTTTATGTTTACCTCTGACGTTCAATTTTCCTTCTGTCTTTTCATATACACTGTAGAAGTTTTTTTCTACTATATAAGTAGGCTATGGTTTGTCGATGTATTCACTCAAACGCATCTAGTTTTAATACACAAAACATAAAAAGTAACGAAAAATGGATGTCTTGATCAGAACCATAATTGATGAAATGAAACAAGATATAATAGAAGCATTTGAGATGAAGTTTGAAGAGTTCATAGAGAAGTATGAAAGGGATTTAAGAAGAATCAAGGACAAGCTGGATAGGCTGGAGAGGATTGCGCGAGATGGCTGTTTCGGTGGTTCTGGAGGATATAGTTCCTTTGACAGTGACGATATGGATGATTAGTTTTTTATTTTATGTTCATTTTTGGTGTATAAACCTTTAAACTCCAGTAGATTATACTGGAAGTATCTGGAAGTAGGCTATGTTTTGTGGAAGTATCTGGAAGATGGCTATGTAGTTTTATTTTCTATTAATATAATATGTTTTGTTTAAATCTTTTTCTGCCTTACTTTTTGATAATAATTCCTCTTGAAATTCAAGAAATAACTGAATAGACTAAACTTTTACGGTTAGATATGTGAAAAAATCAAACAATCTCGCATATAGTACTGGAAGCTATATAAGCCAGTATATTATAATGGAGAGAAGTGTAAAATAGTGAAAAATTGGTATCTATAACAATTTACAGGAATTAAATAATTTAAAATTTTGTTTACTGTATATTATTCTGGCGGTATATATTGCGAAACCATAATGTCCAGTATTTTATGCTGGATATGCACAATCCAGATTTTTTACCCTATATTTGACCGATTTATTAATTGAAATAAAGTTGTAAGGATTGGAGATTATATTTTTCATGGTGTGTTTTTAAGTATAATATGTTAGATTTAATAATTTTTCCGATGCAACTCTTGTTGGAGTTATTATTTTGGTTTTTCCCTATAAATTAAGCTACAAATGCTACTTATGAAGCTATATAAGCCAGTATATAATGATGGAGAAGTGTAAAACAGTGCAAAATTTGTATCTAGACCAATTTGCTGGAATTAAATAATTTAAAATATAGTTTCCTCAATATTATGCTGGAGATATATCATGCGAAAGAATAATGTCCAATATTCTATACTGGATTTGAACAATCCAGATTTTTTATCCTAAATTTTAGCGATTTATTTATTAAAATAAAGTTATAAGGATTGGAGATTATAATTTTTTGTTATGTTCTTATATATAATATTTAGGTTTCATAATTTTTGCTCATGCAACTCTAATATAATTAGTTGGATTTCTTATTTTGGTTGCTTCCTGTAAATTATGCTGAAAATGCTACTTATGAAGCTATTTAGGCCAGTATATTATAATGGAGATCTAGTACAATTTGCTCGAATCAAATAATTTAAAATTTTATTTCCTGCATATTATGCTGGTGGTATATCACTTGAAAGTGTAATATCCCGTATTTTGTACTGAATGTGTACAATCTAGATTTTTTTAATATAACTGCAGCAAATCAAGAAACAAAAAAATAAATAGTAATAATATTTTGAAAAACAAGAATACTGAACAAATTATTCGGGATTACAATCAGTTTTTCACATGAGCCTACGCAACCTTATTGTATGTAATCAATCATCCTTTTTCCTGTATTTTCTTGCATAAGGATGAATTATAGCAGAATTTGTGCAATTAGTTCTGTTATGCCCATATCTTTTGCAACGACCACATCTTGGTTCCTTTTTGAATTCTGTGCCGGAAACATGTTGATTCTTCTGTCTTCTTCCTAGCATTACTTTTGCATCTGGAGGCTTAGTGATTTCTGATTTAGTAGTATCTGGTATAACCCATGTTGTTGAATCACCTACCGAATTTACTTGCCCTTCATATGTTTTCAACCAAAAGTCCCTTGTATAATAAGCCGAGCAAAAGGCCGATTTCTTTTGATATATACTTTCAATTGCAACAATTGCATGTTCACAGGGTATCCCATCTAGCTGAAATTCAGAATAATCACATGTTCTTTTGTCTAGATCAACAATAAATTCCATACCCCCTTCTTTGACATTGAATTTGAGTCGATCAATGGGCAATACTCTAAATGTAAAAGCTGGTTTAATTTTTTCTTTTAATGTTGCTTCTTCCCAATTTGATAACTCACGGAATATTCCTTCTGCAGTTGTCCTTCTTTCATAGAACCAGCTTTGCAATTTTTCTTGTATGAAATCCATCATTATTAAAAATGGCAATTCTCTTGCACGTCTCAAAACATTATTCATTGACTCAACAATATTTGTTAATAGCATATCATATCGTTGTCTTGGACAATGTGAATGAGCCCATCTTCCTGGTGGTTCCTCCATCAAATAGTTGAATGTTTTCTTATCAACAACAGCTATTTGGGACATAAAGTCATCAAATTCTGACTGAAGGTACACTCTTGCAGCACTTTGAAACAGGTTTATTACAGTGTTTCTCACTCTTCTTTGCTTTAGATTATTTTCTAAAATGATATATGCAAATACCATGGTATCACTCAGGGAAAACTTTTGCAATTCCAATTGCAATGGCCTTGTGTCGATCTGACAAAAACATTAAATCATTACGAATCCCAATTGCTTTTCTTAATTCTCTGAAATACCATTCATATGATTCGTTATTCTCTGAATCCGCTACCCCAATTGTTGTAGGGAAAATCTGGTTATTTGCATCCTTTGTAACATCCACTAACAGAACACCTCTATATTTATTTTTTAGAAATGTTCCATCAACAGCTATAAGTGGTCTACAATACTTCCACCCAGAAATTGACGCCCCATACATAAAAAACGTGTAAACAAACCTGTTACATTGAAAAGTAAATAACATTCAGTTTTATGATATGACAAGCTGAATACTAAAGTATATTAGCAGATTATAATAATCATCCAGTATAACATACTGGAAGACAAACATTCAAAGGACAGACTTCCAGTATTATATACTAGACAAAAGTTTATTACTAAACTCTATAAACAAAAAACATAATCAAAAAGTACAAATCTAGTAAACTAAACTGGACAACAGGCTTACACACGCCAGACTTCCTGTAAACTGAAATCAAACAAAACTCAAGTATTATATACTAGATCAAAGAGTATAATAAAAAAAGAAGACAAATAATCACTCAAAAAAAGTAATGACAAATAAAACAAAGTTCTAGGTTAAACAGAACTCATCCAGTATAACATACTGGAGAAAAAGCTTACACACAGCACACTTCTCGTAAAATATACTGGAATCAAATAAAACTCAACTGTATTATAATAATCATCCAGTATAACATACTAGAAGACAAACATTCACATGACAGACTTCAGTATAATATACTGGACAAAATTTATTACTAAATTCAATAAACAAAAAACATAAGCAAAAACCACACTCAGAAGACAGATTTGCCGTATAAAATACTACCCCATATTTATATATGAAGGCCACTATATTATAATCAAACA